AAACCTTGCCACGCAAAACCAACACAGCTATGCAGTTTGTTCTTTAAGCCAAAATACTACAGCTTGCAATTTTTTTTTTTTTAGTTTACTATAAGATCAGTATATGCTTTTTATGTAAAGTTCCAGAAGACTCTTAATTAAGTATTTAGAGTAAGCACTTCATTTTTCTTTTTCCCCTATATTGCTCTTCTGAATAGGTTGTCAGGAAAAGATAGATTAATTGTATTAATTGAAAATTATAAGCAACGTAAGTAATCAATTGATTTGCAGATGTATTTCTAGATACAGTACTTCTGCTTTAGTTAAAGGCATTTATTTGCATCACTGTTGTTAAGGTAGCTTGATGGTGAATGGACAGCTTAACTGCTGATTTACACTGTCTGCTCCCCTTGGTTCTTAGCATGAGAGTGTAGTGCTATTTGGTTCGTTTTTCTCACTCAGCCAGTACGCGGGACCAAAGTGGGACAAAGGGCTGGTGTAATGTGGTACCACATATCCTGAAAACGCTGCATTTTGCTGGTTCTGACTCAAAGGCAGTCACATTTGTGCCAGTTATTTCATACCCTTTTAATCATACCTTTTAAAATGTGGGGTTTCTTTTTAGGGGAAGTCTTTGTAAAAGGCTGTCATGGTTTAGCCCAGGATAAAACATTCAGTTTGGTTTGCTCATGTTCTGTTTCCTCTTTGCAAATTACTGTTGAAACCATTGTCCAATTCAGCCTAATGTGGAAGAGGAGAAGGGCTCTCAAAGATGATGAAGTTTTTATTTACTGTAAATTGGCGGCTGAAGAGAGAAGACACTGAAGTCAGTGCCCTTACTGGGACGAAAAATACAGAAGTCAGCTAGCGTGGGGTCCGTTTTGCAGCAGCTAGGCAGCTGCTGCAGATATAACTTCATCATACCTTTGGGATGTGTGATCTTTTGCCTAGTCGAGGGGCCATAAAAGGTAGGGGCTTATCATGGTGGAGGGAGAAGGACGCAGAGGTAGGAAAGCAAGTTTTTAACTGTGCTGCTCACAGAACTTTTCATGTTAAACTTTGTAATGAGGAAGCTTAGAGATAACATGTCATTTGTCAGACAGACAAAGACCAATGCCAGGGTAGAAGGGAATAAGCCTAATAAATGTTCAAAATGAATTATTGTATCACATACATGATCTATTAATAGGGGAGAAGAAAAGAAATAAATGCAACATATTAATGACTTTCATGCTCAGTGGGAATAATCAAGTTGTCAGCTTGAAGTAGTGAGTATGTTGTTTTTATCAGTGTGCTGCATAGAAGACCAGATATTGGTGCTAAATTTAAAGCAAAAAGTAGGAAAATCTGAATTTTAATACTTGATTAAGCTGGTTGTTTATCTAGCCCATTAAAATGTCATAGATATCTTGCATTAGCTTTGTTAGAAATGGTGAATCAAACCTTGTAATGGCTGTCTGGGAAGTAACAAAGGCTTAGAGAACCAGGCAAGAAGAAAATTGTAATAGTTGAATTTTGCCCTGAGCCCATAAAATTAGGTTTTTAGGTTTAACTATATTTAAGTAACGCTGGTTATTTACATTTATGTAATTATTTATAACTGTAAAGCTTTAAAAAGAATTTAATTAATAAATCCTGATAGAAAGCAGTCTATTCTGTTGTCTTTTTCTAGAGCGGTGATCATGTTGTCTTTTTAAAATTGGGATAATGACTTGAATAAGGTATCCTAGATATTTCCACTTAAGGTTTTTTGTTTGTTTGTTTCCTTGTTTTACAACATGATGATTATGCAATCCAAAATTCAATTAGCATTTCTTTTCTACCCCCTCACCTTTTTAATTATGGAGAACCAGGGTTTATTTGTAGTGTCGGGAAGCTTTAGTCTTCAACAAGAACACTGTGATACTGGGTACTGCACAGCTGTGAAAAGATTTCAAAGGAGGACAAGAGGGTTATGCTTGATGCAGTAGTCCAGGCTGTCTCTGCAGGGGATGCAGAGAGAGAGGTGAAATGATCAAAATAACAAGCTGGTTCTTTGCAGCACCATGCTGAACTAATACATGCAGTGAATTATGCTTTTTCAGCTTCACAGTAATTAAAACAAAAGAGGATATTAGCTTGAATGAGTTTTGGCCATATGGATAGATGGGACATATTTCTAATCATGTGCAGAAAAATTTGGCAGGTCTTGTGCATAGTCTTGCCAAAGTCTATGAGAACCCAGAAAAAACTAAATGAAAAATAACTGTCTAGGTTTACAGTCAGATTGTATTATTGTGCACGCTCAGAAAGTAGGCGTTAGGAGTAGCCATGCAGGGTAGGTCAAGAACTCTGTTTTCACCACATTGAGTTTCAGGGGAAGGCTGTGTCTAAGAAACAGCTAAAACTGGAATTGAAGACAGTTCTCAGGTGGGGGAAACAAATGTGTGAGTCGTCAGCACAGAGATAGATGGCGGCTGAATTTGTGTTGGCAGGTGCTGGATCTCTGAGCATAAAGGAGAAGAGGATGGGAAAAAAAGGGCAGGGATGGAGGTGTACAAAGCTCCTACAACAACTTAAAAAAATTGTCTGAAGACTAAATGAGCAGCTAGAAGAAAACTGGAGGAAAATAAACATTTTGTTGTAGTTTTGTTGTAGGATTCTGTATTTTTGCTCTTCCACTGAATATAAAAGATTAAATCTAAGGCTAGAACAATTTCAGGTACTCAGGATTTTGCGTGTTTTCCTCTTTTAAAAGAGAACTGAGTCCTTTACACAGGTTGTATTGCATTGTTAAACAAATGGAATAAATATCAGTGCCACTTTGATGCAGCATTGTGGTACCAGGATTTTACCAGGGCATTATTGATAATTTATGGTGTCAAAGATGTAATATCACACGTGACATATGCAAGTGATTTCTATTTTAAAAAAATCCAGAGAATGTATTTTTTTATGCCCCACTTTTTCTGTTTTCTTCTCTCGGAAGCTAAGGCAAAACCAGTTTAGTTTCATGGCTTGCCTGCACAAGCAGGAGCTTCAAGGAGAGTTTCAGAATATTAGGTGGCATTGACCTACCTCTAATGTTTGCTCTAAGAAAGCGGGTTCTTGGTCTTAAGACTCTCGCTCTTGTCCCCTGAATTTTGTCTCCTGAGCAGAAGGAATACAAGATTTACCAGAAGAATTTTATCTGACCTATTATTGTACGTTGTGTCCTCCCTGGTAGCTATGTAGGACTGCGTGGGGGCATGAGCTGTATTTGATGACTCAGACCAGAATATCCTCCTACCTCCTCGTTGCTACATGGCTGCTGAGAGTCTCTCTGGGGATCAGGGTGGCTGGGGGCGTACTGGAGTCCTCTGGGAGCAGGATTTTAGAATTCTTGGTGAAGACAGGAATAGTTTGGCTGAACATGGCAACGTCAGTTTTGCCAGAGCATGGGCGTCCCGAGAGGTTTTATTTTTTTACTTTATTTTGGAAAAATAGGTGTCAAACTGCTACACATACAGAAAGCTCTAGTGCAGGAACCAAGGGCAGATTGGAGAATGCTGGCAGGCGGTACATGTATGATTGTTATAGAGGATGTGGTAGGGGCTGTTATTAGGATGCAGAAAAAGAGAATAAAGAACATGAGTACTGAAAAGTTCTAGAGATACTGCTCTTAGTAAAACGTTTGTTTGTTTATTTTTTAGTTCAAGCAGTATGTTTTTGACAGCAATAGTGAAGAACTGGAAGACTGGTTAATTAACATACAAAAATGGAGTATTTACCAGTGGAGGTAAGACATTCTTTGAACGTACTGCAGTTTTGTTTCTTAGCGTTGTCTTGAAATTCCCAGTACAAGTAGCTAGATTAATGGCACTGTTACACAAGCATTTCTCCGAGAACAAAGCTGGTTTAAGAGGTTTCTGTATATCTCCATCTGTCTTTTCATTGCACTCTCAAGTGCTCTGATGCAACTGCTGTAAAATATCACTAAAATGATCAATTTAGAAAAAAACAGAATCAAGAAACATTCTCTCCTTCCGATGTTCTTTTAAAATCTGATATCCTGTGATCCATTTTGTATTGTGGCCTCAGAAAAGATTAGTTTGGATAACTAAAGAAGTGATGGGCTAGTGGGGAGACACCATGGACTGGCCAGGGTATGTAGGAGATTTTCCACCTTAAGAAAATAAATAGAAGAAAAGTAAAGTTTTGACCTTCAGTATAGGATCAAGTGGTTTTAACTGATACTTTAACTATTGGAGATGTTCAATCTCAGTGCTTAAATATTTTTGAATATTGAATACAAGTTTATATGCTGCATTAACCTCTGTTGCTCATATGGAGAGAGCTCCTACTGAAGGAGTCTTCTGCTTCTTACAGGCAGCCAGGACAAATGTGCAGTTCAATAGCTTGGTTTCTGAATGCTAATTATATGCTTTAAAATACAACAATAAACTCATTAAATATTAAAAAGAATTGTGGACATTTAATGTCATCGAAGTTCATCAGTGAAGTGTAGCTGTAAATTTGAATGGAATCTGTACAAATAAATACTTCTACATGAGTTTAACTTTTTTTTTTGGTTGGCTTTTGTATGATTAGCATACAAAAAATAAAGACATTGTCCAAGTTTGAGTTTTTCCTTTAAAATATTTAATCACTGCGTAACACTTTCTATTATATAGTTCAAAGAACACAGTTTTCCTTTGCACAGACGTGAAAGACTTTGACAGAAAAGTACTGATTTGGTTTCTGTCAGCCCAGGGCAGTGAATGTTGCCCTTCATCCAGGTTAAGGTGCACATGGAACAAGCTGATGCTTGGCAAAGAAAAAGCCATCCTCAAAGGTCAGCTGATAGACTGCAATCCCAGGTACATGCAGCGTTGCTTTCTGGATGCTCTGCTTTGTGAACTGTACTGGTTCTGCAGTTGATAGTGGTGCAAGGCATGGGTGCCATTTTTCCAAATATTGTTGGTAGCTGAGTGAGGGCTGTGTTACTGGATTAAAACACATGGCGCTGTGTAATGCAGGACTGGGTTTTTACTGGACCCTGTGTTCGGTCTGCAGGAGTTGCCTGCCAGGCAAATTTTAGCTGGCTGGGGATGCTAAATCAGCTCGACAGAGGAAGGAGGGAGTGGCCCCAGCTAGAGCCATGTTAGACACAATAGAAATACCACAAGTTCACTGGACAGCCCTTTTGGCAGTAATGCAGGATGTGGCTCTCCTGGCTTTTATTGTTGAATTAACTCATTCATAAAATAGACCTTCAAACTTGTCTAATTGGACTAGTTTTGGATTATTCTGAGTTTTCCTACTGGGGACTTGAGGGACCCTGAAGCATTTGGGAGTGGCTGCTTGGCCTAACAACTCCTGCAGAAACAGTTTTCCTTTCCCTTAGTGGAGGCAAACTGTTCAGGGACATAGACAGTGCCACTGGGGAGTGGCATTGTGCATTGTGCTGGGCAGTCAGAGGTGTGTAATGTTTTCCTCCCTTGAAAATGTAGTTTCATCAAAATGCAAGCTGGATGAGGCTGTCTCATGGCATCCTTTGTCTAAGTTCTTTCATTTTTTTTCGGAGTCTTTTAAAGTGGCGTCGTTTCTGAGGTGTTGGACAATTTCATCACAGGTTTTATGCACAGCCCACAAGGTTTGTTGCCCAGTAGCCAAGGGTCATGGGTCTAGGATCTCTGGATCTCTGCTCGGTGGCAGATCAGGTTCCATTTGCAGAGGATACACTTGCATCTTGGTAGGTGATGCACATGTGATAACACGGTATGGTAACCCCAGAGAATTAGAGTGCAGAACTTCTTGATTCTAGCTTTAAAGACCACTGAGAACATCCCTACACAATCCTTTAGACAAAGCAGTGGAAGAGAGAATTGCTGCAAAGCCATGTAGGTTATCAGTGACAGTCCTAGCACTACATACTGCAGCAAACTTGTGGCATCATTCAGTTAATCTGTTGAAGTCCCTTGATTGAAATTTGAATGAACACAGGATATTTAGACAAGCTGGACATCTAGATGCTGTAGTTTTGATCTTGCGGTAAAAGCCCTTGATCTGAGTTCATCATATTGTCATAACTCAGCTTCAGCAGCAAAATTCCTCTTTAAGTAACATTCTGTTTCTGTGTTTTTGTAAAGTGCATGTGGAGTCCTTGTATTGGCTGTTAAACCAAGGTCAGAATTAACTTTTTGTTTGTAGATAAAAATCTAGACCTGTGCTATGGTGCTTGAAGCCTTCCAGCTCCTCTGGAGTGAGTACAGAAAGGTAAATCTTATCTTGATTCATATGCCGAGATAATTTAGTTGGTAGGCTAGAGGTGGCCTCTAAAGGTAACTTTACTTTCAGGTGACTGACATCTGCAGCAGCGGTGACTTTTTCTTTTGCCAGCTACTCTGTTTCAGTCTCAGTAGTACTACCTGCTGCTTCACAAAAACCCAAATGCATGTTCAAAACTTTAGAAACAAAAAAACCCCATAATCCATTGAAGCTCCAGCCAGGCTAGCTTTTTTATGTGTACTGCTTCTGTATTAGACCCAGAAGATGGACTAATGTGCATGAAGGATAGTCTGGGTTAGGTGTTTTTGTTTGTTTATTCCTCAAACCAGACAGTGCTTGCAGTGTTTGAAGTGCTTGTAGAAAATGAAGTCTGTTATTAATCCAGTTGATATTGTTGCAGGAAAAACAGCAGAACTCTGTAAAGTCTGTAGGATTTTAATTTAAGTATCAGCAGGTAGTTGAAAATTAGCAGGAAGGTGCCAGTCTGTGGCTGCAAAGACGACAGTGAGAATTAACACTTTACTACTAACGAAGATTGACTAAAAATGAGCATGTTCCTCGCCTTCCCTCTGGAATCTCTCCATCTAAGTCCCTACATGACCTGGTCAGGCACTTTCTCTGCACTGTTTGGCCACACTGTAATTCAGCTGTCCCTGTTCTCACGTCAGAGTTGAGGCACTGCTACCGGCACGGTCATTCTGCTTCAACAAGGGCTGGAAGCAGACCGTGCTCTTTTTCTCCTTGTCGGCAGTATTTTTCCCTCTCTCCAGCCAAGTACCAGAGCAGCACTGCAGTCGTAGCTATCAGTAAGTGCCAGCATTATATTATGCTGATGGTGTGTTGTGATACTTCTCTGATAACGTTTGATTCCTTCACAACAAAGATAGAAGTTATTGTGGGCAGGATTTGGTACATCCTATATTCTGGTTTACTCCAGGGCCTGTACACTTAAGGAAGCTGTGCAAAATTGTGTATAGTGTTGTCCTTTTTAAGGATCAGATAGGCATTATCCCCAGCTTGTGTTCTAAAAAGTTTGTTTTCTGTTTGTTTTCAGTAACTAAGGTGCTGACAATTTTGACTTCTTCATGCTCATAAACATGAGTGAAGTTCAGGCTATGGTAGAATTCTCCGTGGAGCTCCACAAATTCTTCAATGTGGATTTGTTTCAAAGAGGGTAGGTAGTGCATTCTTTCAAACTTCACTGTGGTGGATGGCTGGTGTTGGAAGGACCTTAATGGGTACTGTCATGTAGCACTGCTTTGTGTATTATTGACTATTTTTATACTGATTTGAAATTTTTTTTTCCTTGTTGGAAAGGCATATACTTTCTAGGAATTAAAATTAAATGCTCAAATAATTTGGCCTAAAATTTAACTTGTAATGAAATATTTTTTATCTGATAGGAGAAGAGGGAAGCTCTGTAGGTTTGTAGGGTAGATTATGTTCTTATCCAGACCTTTACACTTTCATGTCTTAATTTCTGTAATCCCTTCTGTTTGAAATATGATAGGTGTTTCTCTTCAATCTTTTGAAAATGTTGCTGCTCCAATTAACTTACTAGTTTATCAGTTTGGCAGTGGAGAACTACACCAGCTTCTCTCTTCCTCACACTGACTCCATACTGTCTTGTTAGACTCTCCTGACCTCCTCTTACTGATCTCTGTAGGTTTTTTCACATTCCTTTCATTTCATATTACCTGATTGTCCCTAGCTTACTTTCTAAGGTCCTCCTTTCCCATGGAAATAGGAAATAATCTTTTGTAGCTTATTCTGGACTTATTAAAGATTATTGGTCATCTAGTGTTGTGGTACATTGCCCTTCTGTCAATCTGCTAACAGACTACAGAAAAATACACGTCAATATTGTAGTTCTTACGATGTTTGCTTTAGATAAATCTGGCTGAGGCTGTGTCAGTGTTTACAGACAGGGAACAATACATATCAGTGTTGATTTATGCTAGCTCCTTTTTCCAAAACATTGTAGAGTAACTTTCCTTGGAAACATTTTAGTAATAAGAAAATATATTCTTGTTTTTAACCTTGTCATAAAGGCAGGCAGTTGGGGGGTGTTTTATTGTTTTTAGTAGTGTTGGGTTTTGACAGGGTGAGTTGATGAAGGTAAAGTAATGGGAAAATGTCATTGCTTTGGGATACACATAGTTCCTCTACCTTGTATTAACCCTCTGAGGTGGATGTTTTGGTGAAGAGGTATAAAAAATAAAAATAAGGTAGGATTGGGATAGAGCTCAGGAGAAAGAGGCATATAATACTGTTATAAAACATAGCTTGGCTAGCTAGCCTCTCTCTTTGCCATGTTACTGTTAGTTTTCATCTATGTGTTATTAAAGCTAGCTTTTCTCTAAATTTGACCTGAAGCTGGCATTGACAGAAGTGATTATCCGTTATGCTGGCAACCATTTGCAGTCAAAGTATATGCAACAGACTGTCTATGTCCCGTTTTGGGGGAAAGTTGTAATTTCACTCTTCATTGGAAGAGGAGGATTAAAG